TGTATATAGTGGATACACTGGGAGTATATAGTGGATACACGAGGAGTATAAAGTGGATGCACTGGGCGTATATAGAGGATACACTAGGCGTATATAGGAGATACACTGGGAGTATATAGTGGATACACTGGGAGTATATAGTGGATACACAGGGGTATATAGTGGATACACTGGGAGTATATAGCGGATACACTGGGAGTATAAAGTGGATACACTGGGAGTATATAGTGGATACACTGGGGGTATATAGTGGATACACTGGGAGTATATAGTGTATACACTAGGAGTATATGGTGGATGCACTGGGCGTATATAGTGGATACACTGGGAGTATATAGTGGATGCACTGGGAGTATATAGTGGATACACTGGGAGTATATAGTGGATACACTGGGGGTATATAGTGGATACACTGGGAGTATATAGCGGATACACTGGGAGTATATAGTGGCTACACTAGGAGTATACAGTGGATGCACTGGGCGTATATAGTGGATACACTGGGAGTATATAGTGAATACACTTGGAGTATATAGCGGATACACTGGGAGTATATAGTGGATACACTGGGGGTATATAGTGGATACACTAGGAGTATATAGTGGATGCACTGTGCGTATATAGTGAATACACTGGGTTTATATAGTGGATACACTGGGGGTATATAGTGGATACACTGGGAGTATATAGTGGATACACTAGGAGTATATAGTGGATGCACTGTGCGTATATAGTGAATACACTGGGTTTATATAGTGGATACACTGGGGGTATATAGTGGATACACTGGGCGTATATAGTGACTACACTAGGAGTATGACTGGGCGTATATAGTGGATACACTGGGAGTATATTGTGGATACACTGGTAGAATATAATTATATTGACTACAATTGGAGTATATAGTGGAGACACTGGGAGTATATATTGGCTACACTGGGAATATATAGTGAATACACTGGGCGTATATATTGGAGACACTGGAAGTATATAGTGGATACATTAGGATGAACACACTGGGCGTATATAGTGGATACACTGGTAGTATATATTGGATACACTGGAAGTATATATTGAATAAACTGGGAGTATAAAGTGAAAACACTGGGAGTATATAGTGGAAACACTAGGAGTATTTAGTGGATATACTGGGGATATATAGAAGAAACACTGGGTGTATAAAGTGGATACACTGGGCTTATATGGTGAATACACTGGGCGTATATAGTGGATACACTGGGCGTATACAGTGGAAACACTAGGAGTATATGGTGAATACACAAGGAGTATAAAGTAGCTACACTGGAAGTTTATAGTGGATACACTGGGCTTATATGGTGGATACACTGGGCGTATATAGTGGATACTCCGGGCGTATACAGTGGAAACACTAGGAGTATATAGTGGATACACAAGGAGTATATAGTGGCTACACTGGAAGTATATAGTTGATACACTGGGAGTATATAGTGGATACACTGGGCGTATATAGTGGCTACATTGGAAGTATATAATTGATACACTCCGAGTATATAGTGGATACACTGAGAGTATATAGTGGATACACTGGGCGTATACAGTGTATACACTAGGAGTATATAGTGGATACACTGGAGTATATAGTGGATACACTGGAGTATATAGTGGCTACACAAGGAGTATATAGTGGATACACTGGGCGTATATAGTGGCTACATTAGAAGTATATAGTTGATACACTCGGAGTATATAGTGGATACACTGGGCGTATACAGTGGAAACACTAGGATTATATATTGGCTACACAAGGAGTATATAGTGGATACACTGGGCGTATATAGTGGCTATACGAGGAGTATATAGTGGATACACTGGGGTTATAAAGTGGAAACACTAGGAGTATTTAGTGGCTACACAGGGAGTATATAGTTGAAACACTGGGAGTATATAGTGGATACACTGGGCGTATATAGTGGTTACATTGGAAGTATATAATTGATACACTCGGAGTATATAGTGGATACACTGGGCGTATACAGTGTATACACTTGGAGTATATAGTGGATACACTGGAGTATATAGTGGATACACTGGAGTATATAGTGGCTACACAAGGAGTATATAGTGGATAAACTGGGCGTATATAGTGGCTACATTAGAAGTATATAGTTGATACACTCGGAGTATATAGTGGATACACTGGGGGTATATAGTGGATACACTTGGCGTATTTAGTTGATACACTGAGAGTATATAGTGGATACACTGGGGTATATAGTGGATAAACTGGGCGTATACAGTGGAAACACTAGGAGTATATAGTGGCTACACTAGGAGTATATAGTGGATACACTGGTAGTATATGGTATATATACTGGGAGTATATATTGGATACACTTAGAGTATATAGAGTATATAGTGGATACACTGGGGGTATACAGTGGAAACACTAGGAGTATATAGTGGCTACACAAGGAGAATATAGAGGATACACTGGGCGTATATAGTGGCTACATTAGAATTATATAGTTGATACACTGGGAGTATATATTGGATACACTGGGAGTATATAGTGGATACACTTGGAGTATATAGTGGATACACTGGGAGTATATAGTGGATACACTGGGAATATATATTGGATACACTGGGAGTATATATTGGATACACTGGGAGTATAAAGTGAATACACTGGGAGTATATATTGGATACACTGGTAGTATATGGTATATATACTGGGAGTATATATTGGATACACTTAGAGTATATAGTGAATACACTGGTAGTATATAGTGAATACACTCGGAGTATATAGTGGAATTATTAGGAGTATTTAGTGGATACACTGGGCGTACATAGTGGATACATTGGTAGTTTGTGTATTGGCTACACTGGGAGTATATAGTGGATACACTCGGATTATATATTGGGTACACTGGGATTATATAGTGGATACTATAGGAGTATATAGTGGAAACACTAGGAGTATATAGTGGATACACTAGGAGTATACATGCGATACACTGGGAGTTTATAGTGGATACATTGGGTGTATATAGTGGATACATTGGGCGTATATAGTGGAAACACTGTGCGTATATGGTGGATACACTGGGAGTATAGAGTAGATACACTAGGAGTATATAGTGGCTACACTAGGAGTATATAGTGGATACACTGGTAGTATATAGTGGATACACTGGGGGTATATAGTTGATACACTAGGAGTATATAGTGGATACACTGGGCGTATATGGTAAATACACTGGGAGTATATAGTGGATACACTAGGAGGATATAGTGGCTACACTAGGAGTATATATGCGATACACTGGGAGTATATAGTGGATACATTGGGTGTATATAGTGGATACATTGGGCGTATATAGTGGAAACACTGGGCATATATGGTGGAAACACTGGGAGTATATAGTGGATACACTAGGAGTATATAGTGGATACACTGGGCGTATATAGTGGATATACTGGGCGTATATAGCGGATACACTGGGCGTATATAGTGGATATTATTCAGGAAGTCTCTAACACTGTAACAAGTAACTATTAAACTTTCTTGTCATCTGTCAAAATCAATATTTAGATATCACACAAAGTCCAAACCAAGGCGATCTGCATATTTGTTTATTATGTCCTGTTATTTTTACATGTGTTTTCTTATACGTAAGGGGAGCTGCGTGACCCAGAGTCGGACACCAGCCGAGCACATGGCGCACCCGACCCCACGTATGACGGTAGTAATGGTGACAGGGGTGAGAGGCTTTGGCAAAGATCCCTCAAAAAGTTAAAGTCAAACTTCAAAAAGGATATAAGGTAACATAATATTCAAATAAACCATGACAGGCTCAGTTGTTCAAAATGTAATTTGTTCAACCCACGAGTCTTTATAGTTACATTGGCTTCACTGGAGAGTTCTTAGAAATGGTGTATGGTGTTAAAGTTATGCTGGAAAATATCGTTTTTGGCAGTGGTATGGGAATCGTTTAAATCACACTTAGGCTTGTATTTGGTCATTTAGATAGAGAGTGATATGTACATGGGAACTATAAGGTAGCGAAGAGCTTTTAATCATCCTGATACGGGTAAGAATGCCAATAGTTCCTGCGACAAGGATGCATACTCTTTGCATTAAGATGTTCTGTATGAACTACTTAATATACAAAGTAATTTGAAAACACGGACATTTCAATCCAGTGAAATTTCTCGTTTTTTCAACTTCTATAATTAAAAATATTTCCTTCAAGTTAACCGATAAGTCAATTTTGCGGTCAGTCAAATACTGGTTTAGTCCATATTCCCTGGTGTCGTTATGATTTATTGAGCAACCTATCAGTACTTCAATATTGTTTAGGTTTGTGATGTTTTCCCCTTTAGTTTTGGTGTTTTCTCGGTGAATCCTGATTTTTGAACTAGTTTCTTTATTTGTTTTTCATTTAAGTTGCTTTAAAAAGAAAGCTTTATACAATTGTTTATAATTGTAAACCACGTATTTAAAAGACTTAATGGCTGTATTGGTAAGTCGACATCCGTGTGTTATATGGAGTCCTTAGACGGAGCTTCAAACGTTATGAGCATTAATGACATGAAATATGCCTTTTTGTCCTGTGAGAGATACCGATCGATTTCAGGAGTTTACTTACACACCACATGAGCGGCCATAGCGGGCCTACTTGTTAGGGAGGCTTATGAAAACACATTGCTGAGAATCTTTTTTTATGTCATTCAAGTGTCTCCTACAAGTTCTTAGAAGAAAGTATTTGTGAAAAATATTTAATGACGGTTGCTGATCTCCTTCATAGCAACGAAACCTACAAAGCAGGCGAAGTTCTGGCAGTTTTAGCCGCTACCATAGCTGGTGTAACAGGTGAGTGCTATCTGTCTTGTATTGCTAATACTCTGTGAGTTCTGGCAGTTTTAGCTGCTACCATAGCTGGTGGAACAGGTGAGTGCTATCTGTCTTGTATTGATGATACATTAAAATTTAAATCAATTTGTTTATAAAAAAAAGTCGTTGGAATTTTCGAAAAAAAATCTATACATCGGGACAATTTTTATAGTTAAGTACTTGTGGCAATTCCATATTAAAGTTATTATCATTCTCTATTGCTATTAGAAATATGGGAGTTCAAAATCAAAATTAATAATGGTCAAAATTGAAAATGAGATAGACATTCAAAACCTTGATGGTAAATTTGTTGAAAAGAAATTGATGAAATTAAGAATTATCGATTTATGAAACTTGCTTAGTACTGTAGTCCCCTCCCTCCAAAAAAAATGTATTATGACCAGATAATAAAACAGCACCAAACTGTATTTTTTTCTAGTCATATTTTAACAAGATATTGATGTTATTTGTGAAAGCAGCAAACTACTTCTCAGGTACATGTATAGGTTCATTGACCATTTCTTAAAAACGCGGTCTCACAATTATAATGCTATATATTATACTATTTTGTATACAAATACTAATTGAATTTGGCTCTAAGGTATGTTTAGATAATGTATTGTGGGATGTATTCAATTTAATACAGAAGAATAAACCGGTTTGTGTTTAAGTTATTTTTTCACGAAAAATATTCTGATTATTTGAAATATCTCTCTAAATCAATTTCATGTGGGATGAGCCAATTTCATGAATAATTATTCACTAAAATTGGGTACCCTGTACAATGCCATATTGATAAGCATTAATAACATATGTTTCCCATTTAATGTATAGGTGAACTTACAGTCGATATAAATATTTTATTTCTATTGAAGAAAAAGAAAACAGTGGCTACCATTTCCGAATCAATCGGTTAATGTTCGGAGACCTAGATATATGGATGGCCTCGTTCATTCTTTCGTTCGATGGTAAAGGGAGGGAACACCTATTAGACGTTCTAAGAGGCATACCCAAGTAAGTTATCGACAGCGGGAACATATATATTCACATGTTCAGTAAACATCTACGTTATGCAGTCAGTATGAAAGTTGTTTAAACCGGACCCCACTAAGTTGTTATACATATTAAGATAACATGCAGAAGATATTAAAGAGAAGTTATGGTTCTCGAAAGCTTTTCGGAAATAACGATTGGAATATTGTACAACAAGTTTCTGAAGTATTTTATTATATTTTTTTTAATAGTTGCACCCATCAAAAGATGATTTTTTAAAAATCGAAAGAAACTTCTGTGAAACAATGAATCTTCATGATTTACTTTTGACTTTTTAAACATTTAGTAAACTAAACAGTTATAAACATCTCAAAGATGTGGTAGAGTAGCAAGTAGTATTCTTTTTTAAACTTGAACGCTGATTCACTTATCTGCAGGTCGTAATCGAGAAAACAATACACCTGCTGTTACCCACTGCATTGTATCGTAAGAGGCGACTAGTGTGCGAATCCCTGCAGCATACGGGATTTGCTTGTGTATCCTCTGTTAAAGGACACAAAAGCGACCAAAATAAATCTGCTGTACTCATTGCAATATTTGGAATCTTTCTATTTCTTTCTACTTCTAACTAACTTTTACTTTCTAATCCCTTGCTTGGCAATACCTCACGTTGTGAGTTAATAATGAGCGTTCTCCCATGTGATGGGAGGCAATGGGTTCCGTCCCCAGACAGGGACATAACAAATACATTTGGTATTCCCTGCTGGACGTTCAGCATTGAGGGTAATGGCAGCAACTGGTTTAACCGTTGTCAGTATAATGTGACCGGGCGGAATGCTGTGCTAGGTGCCTTCGGTATGGTATTTCAGTTAGATAGCACTATAAAGTCGGCATTAGATCCGCGCTATCACAAGGAGGCAAGTATACCAAAATACCCTGTCTCCAGCACACATACACAAATGTACACATACACAAGATACAATGACCTAAGTCGTTTTTAGGACGTTAAACAATATAAAACAAACACTTACTTTTCAACAAATGAGCCGGAATTTTGTAAAGAGCACCCTGTGAAATTGTTGGAAAAATATATCTAGTTTTAGGTAAAGATAATTATTTTGCTGAATTTTGGGAAAGAAATGGATTGAAACATTTGAATTCGATACAGAAACATCGAGGAAATTATATGTTAGTCCATATATAACTAGTAGAAACCCAAATTTTCAATGGCTTCAATTCAGAATTATTCAAAATTGATATCCCATACTGTAATCATTGTTACACTGAAAAACAAAAATACAGTTCATGCAATGTTGGAATGTAAATAATAACAACTTTTGATGGCAGATTTTCATTTCCTGTTAGATTCGTCGTTATTTTTATTTTGAACTATATTCTTCGAGTACTATCATATACTAATTGGGGTGCAGACCGTGAAATGCTTTTGCGACTCTACAGATCACTTATCCGTTAAAACCTCGATTATGGTCCACTGGTTCAGCACGCAGCTCTTATCTGTAAATGTTGAATCCGATCAGTAACCAAGGGCTGTGTCTAACACTTGGTGCTTTTTAACAACACCAGTGAAAAGCCTTTGCGTGGATTAAGATTTAAATAACATAGCTGATTACAACATACTAGATGTTTCACCATGGACAATACAAATACCTTATGTCAATTTTGAATTTGGCAAAATCGAGTGCACTGCCAAAAGAACACGAATTTTCCTTTCGGGAGTGTATTTCGAGGTTCCCTCTTCATACACCTATGGATCCGAAGATGGCAAAAAAGTAGCAGCATCCTGCTGCTCTGCTAACTTTTCCGCTTCCATTCGATTACCAGACGGTGCCCTATTTTCTCTGCGGAAGCGTGTGACATCTACCCTTGACTATATCGATGAACACGGCGTTGAAAAGGTAATCGCCTGTTCTAACTCTCTTTCGGTCCTTAAAAGTCTGAAGTTACGAGACCACAAAAACACTTATACAAAACCTGTCCATCCGCATATCTTGTATCTCAAAGAAATGAAAAATAATTCTTCTATGAGTTCCGAGTCACGTCGGAATAAAAGGTAACGAAAATGCTGACAGAGCATATGGATTATATTAAACTCCCAGTAAACCACTATTAAACTGCCGCATACAGATTAAACCCTTTATACGTTTAAAGGTAATGGCAACAACGGTATGGTCTCTCGAGACCAACAACAAACTATATAAAACTTAAACCTTGTCTTCCTAGTCGGAAAGACTGCCGAGAGAAGGTTCTCGATCTGTACTGGTCATACTTATCTCACTCATGCTTATCTGCTAAATAGGGGTGATCCAACTACATGCCACACATATGATTCTCCATGTACAGTGGAGCACTATTTTATTACAATGTTAAGATTTCAGATACATTCGTGATANATATATATCTTTTTATATCTTAAACGGCTTTTTCTTGATAATCAAGATGATTAGAATGATGGTATTTTGCAAATTCAATACTGGGTAAATAGGGGGCAAAGAATGATGATATTTCGGCAGTAGCATGCATGGATAAAGGGATATTATGTACAATTGAATGAACGACCATTACTTATATTCAAGGTCAAAAGGATCATATGTTAAAAACCTTAAAACAAGTTATTTTGAATAACCAAACGGCTTAGGGCTATGGTATTCTGTTAGTAACATGCTTGGATGAAGGGTTATCAGGTTTGTTCAAATGATTGTCATTAACCTATATTCAAGATCACAAAGTTTAAGTGTGTTTAACCTAAATAAACTTCTTATAAAAACCTAGAGGCTAAAGGTGATGAAAAATAGTAACATACCAGGATGGTGGGCTTTTTAGTTAGTATGAATGCATGACCTCCACCAAGACCGAGACCCAGTGTAATGACAATTGACCAGTAGCTTTCGTGGATGGAGAGCTATCAAGTTGTTCAAATAATTGACATTTACTCTAATGTTAAGGTCACGAGGGTTGAATGCTTTAAACGACGGCCGAAAAATCAAAAGGTCTATCGTGATGATATTTTGTCAGTCGCATGCGTTAAAGGGCTCTCATATTTGTTTAATATTTTTTTAATTTGTTTTATAGGGTAAAATGAATTAAAACATTTTGATTTTAACAACCTCTTTTGAATAATCAAGAGACCTCGGTCATGATATTTGATATGTGGCTTAGTGGTGCAATATGCCCACAAGTATTGGATCTGAATGAATAAACTATACCAATATGTACAGTCAATAATAAAACCCGTTTGAATTTTCCAACAACGACCTTAAAGGTGACGAGTGATAAAACTGTTCAGTAATACGTCGTTTAAAAATTCACAGATGTTGGATGAATAACAAGGTAGCGATACTGGTCCGCTAGGGCTTTTGTTCCATAAAGATACATAATGTATCGTTCCCCCATAAGTCCTGTCAACTTTATCAGTAGGACATGAATCCTATATAATGCATGAAAAGTAATAATTGTTGTAAACCATTGATCGCATAAAAATAAATCTTCGGCGAAAAAATGGAAAATTGTTTAAATTTAACGTTCATGCAATATGACGTCGTCTCTTCAATAGACTCAAACATTCCGTTTTCCTTTCAGGTTTCTGATGTCAACGGTTCACGATCGTACGTGGAAGGTATTATTCTATGGAATAGTATTTCTTATGGTAAAAGATACGATTAGAAAAAGATTTATATGTATGTTGAATGATAAGGAAAGACAAAGTAGACTTCGGTTGAACGTATATAAATACATATAGCACTTAATGGAGTATCACTTCGCTTACATTGGAAACATATCAAGTCAGCGGACAAAGTTCTTGATTACCTTTTTAAAGTTTTTAATAAAAGTAATCAAGGAAATATCAGTAAACTGGTTATAAGTTTACCAATAAATGTAGCAGTTCCTACATTATACACATATGTAATACAAGTAATAAAGGACAAAATTTTAATGCAAAAGGTCATTTGATCAATTTTATTAACAACTGTTTTCTGCATAAAGCGGGAACAAACTAACTTTGCTAATATACCGGGTTCTGTTAGGATTGACTAGAAGGAATAAAGTAGTAAAACATCTAGAGATAAGAGTTACCTATAACACACGTGGTACCCGTCATGAAGTCACCAATCGAATCTCAGACGAGTATGTAGGTCAGCTCAACGATCTAGCACAAAGTGTGTAAATCTTCAATTAGGTTAAACCTAAAAAACTCATATTTTGATCTAACATCATGATGACGACCGTATGTTTTTTGTTGGGAAGATAGAAGCCTCTTATGAAGATTACCCTTGTTTAGTAGTTTAAGTAAGACATATACTATATCCATTTCCCGAACCTGCAAGGATATAGGATTAGGCAAGTATTTTATCGCTTTTCTCGACATTTATAGACGATCTTGGAGAAGACACTGAAGCCGGTCCGTCACAGCCCAAAGTCAGGCGAGTGGACAGCACATTTCAACACCGCAAAAACACAGCCGTCCTGTCAGTGGTATAACCGATATTTGACCTGTTCTGTTAACTATTGTTTTTCATTAAAAGTCAAATCACTGACAATAATAATTGTCATTTGGAGTTATAACTCACAAGATAGTATTTTTGAGTATATGTGTCACAGTTTTATATATAGCTATTAATTAATGACACAACCAATATCGTCATCAATATTGGCATAATGTATCATTTTCAAATAATTTTCCTCGTATGAAAACCAACATCTGCTGAAGGTTACATAATACATTCCGAAGCATCATTTGTTATCACTTGATTTAAATCATTTCATTTCTGATTCAGAATCAACATGCATTTGTGACTCTGTACCTTTTGGAGAAAATGTACCCATATCCACCCCTCTACCATTCGAAAGACATATGCATGGTGGTAGAAGCCATGCTATGTTTGGGTGAAATAGAAAGGAAACTGGTAGTATTCCCCGGTTGTCATATAGATGATCTGTTTGATGAGAGATGGGGTGTGTTTACATCAGAAATTGAAGAGAGTATACGAAACAAAAGTTTCGTTGAACTGTACTCGACAGTTTTCTTAAAACATTGGAATGCTTCCGACACATTCTACAGCAACCGAAACAGGAGCCTTTTGACTCTGCTGACTACAACGGAAGACTTACCGATATGCTGGCGGGCACAGTTGTGTGGAAATGTGGTGTGTACTACACTCAAGATACAATCTTCTTTGGACTTGTACTTATCAGGTATGATCTGATACACTTTCTTGTTATTGTCAATGTTTTAAAAACATAATTGTTTACCATACGAAGTTGTCGTGTTCGTGTCTCTGTCTTTCGTCGGTTATATTGCTTTATATTTAACATGGAAAATGAAACGTTGCATTACTTTATAATGCATTGAAAAGACCAAATTTGGCATGTTTTTTGTCATAATGTGGTGATAAAGCATAACTATGGTGATATAGTGTAACTATGGGGATATCGTGTAACTGTGGAGATACAGTGTTACTATGGTGATATAGTGTAAATATGGGGATATCGTGTAACTGTGGAGATACAGTGTAACTATGGTGATATAGTGCAACTGTGGAGATACAGTGTAACTATGGTGATAACGCGTTACTGTGCTGATATACTATAACTGTGCTGATATAATTTTACTGTGGTGATTTAATTTAACTATGGTTATATGATTATAGTGTAACTACAGTTAGGAGCAAACTTAATTTGGTATCTAGTGCACTTCGTAGTGAACAAGGAAGTTCACTTGACAAAACATTGAAGTGCACTCCAGTTCACTTCAGTGTTATACTTCAGTGAATATTAGTATTTTGAAGATGGTTCAGAGATTCATTAAAGATACTAGACGCTTTTACTAGATTACACCTACTTGTTTATCTATTTGCTGTCCACCAGTATCATTTTAATTGCCGTTTTCTTTTTACAATCTACTTTTTGTAACAACAATTTTCAAAACATTGATCATGACATGCAAATATCAATATATATCATATACATGTTTTATCATTACTTCAATTCAATATGATGTGTGTAAACTGTTTATATCTGTAAGGAGAGGGCGCTCATAGGCTTTGCCTGTTGCCCAATTCCTTTGTTTCTAAGATCTGAACAATAAATATTCTGAAATGGAAACTTCAGTGTTAACTCCAGTGCACTACAGTGTTTACCAAAGTTTAAAAGACTGAAGTACATATTTCAATAATTGTTTATAATGAAATGGGTTCCTTTGTGATATGAAAATTAAAAGAGAATGAAACGAATCATTCAAATGAATATTTCATAATATTGAATCAATGATACACATTTTTTTTTTGTATGATAGCTGTACCATTTCAGAGGAAAACGTTTAAAAGTACACTCGATCATAGTTAAATTCACATCACATTTCATAACAATGTTGTAGTGTCAGGATGGGGGATCAGTATCTGGTATGTGATATGGGTAAATTTGGTAAGTTTCTCTATATTTTTATACTTTTTATAAAAGGTTTCTCTTTAATACGACATCAAAAGAGTAATTCGCTTCTTTGTTTGATATAAACAAGTCAAGAAAAGATTAAATTCCAGATTTTTTTTTCTTCCCTATATTGTATTCTTATAGTAGACATGTATTTAAATATACGTTCTTACTAGAAACACAGACTTAGAAAACATCTTAATTCGTACTAGATAACTACTCACTTCCTACATTTAAAAAAAAAAAGTTTACTTGATAACTTGATTTACAAAGGGACAATTGAAAACAATTATGACATCCCCCCTGAACATACATATCATTGGTGCATAGGCACGTTAAATTTACCTGTAGAAAGTCAATTCGGATACCTACATATTCAATTGTTACTAAATACATGTTTTGTTGGAATTCAGATCTGCATTCCTGTAACTACATTACATTGTTACCGATCATAAATGAGACAATACATATATTTATAGTCTTTTTTTCTTATTCACAGTACATGCAACTACATGTACCTACATGAGCTTTCCATTTTTTTTTCAAAATGAATATACAGAAATGACTCACTATCATGTACTAATCATAACGTGAAAATATTTTTATATTTAATGTAGACGTTATACTTTTATTACTATAAAGGAACTTTAATGGTGATTATGTCTTTAGGACAAAGTATTATAAACTTTAAACCACCGATACATGTATATACATGCATGTGCTAATAATTTAATAGTTCATCACGCTCTATAGTTATTAAGCTATTTTCATAAAAGGATACTGCTTAATACCTTGTGAGCTGTAGTTAACTCCAGTGCACATTGCTGTGAACTCCAGTGCACATTGCTGTGAACTCCAGTGCACATAAATGTGAAGCGCACATCGATGTAAACTCCAGTTCACTTCAGTGTTAACTCCAGTTCAAATCGATGTGAACTGGAGTTCACTTTTCTTGTTAACTCCTGTGCACTAGGCTACCAAGTTAAGTTTGCTCCCAACTGTATGTTGACCAAATGTAACTATGGCTCTTTAGTATTACCATGGTAATAGATCGTAACTATTGTGATATATCGTAACAATGTCAGATGTAGTAACGTTTAACCATGGTGATATAAATTAGTATCGTGATATAGTGATAAAATGTAGCTGCTGACAGAGTGTACCTATGATGATAATGTGTGACTCTGCTTATATGGTGTAACTGTGCTGATGAATAATAATTGTGAGATGATAAAGCGTAACTTTGGTGATATAGTGTAACTATGGTGATAAAATGTTAAGTCTGGTTATATAGTGTAAATATAGCGTAACTATGGTGATAGCATGTTACCGTGGTGATACATTGAAACTATGGTAATAAAATGTAAATGTGCTTGGAAAATCTAACAAAAAATGATAGTATCATTTTTTTTAAATGGGTTTACGTCATTTCATCTTTATATCTTTATATATTGTATCTGCAAAAGTTGAAATAAAAAAAAATAAAAAAAAATATTATATCAAGGTAAGTTTTCGGGGTTAGATATCCGGATGAAAGAGTT